TAACAATTATTTTATATACATCATCTAATTTTTATAAAACTGTGATTTAGATATCATTAGACTCCTTTTATAGTCAAAGGAAGAAGAGACAGAGGGAGTTCAAATAACTGAGAGTTCACAGACAATGCTGTACCTGGGATTTGTACTCAGGTCTGAGTCTAGAACCTCTGTGCTCTTTATAAGGTTAAGCATTTTGGTCCTTACATCTTTACATTTTTTAAAATTTATTATTGTTTTATTTTATGTGTGTGAATGTATTGCCTGCATGTATGTAAGTGCACCCATATCATGCAATGCCCATGGATGTCAGAAGAAGGTATTGGATACCTCTGGAACTGGAGTTATGGAAGGTTGTTAACCACCATGTGTGTGCTGGGAATCAAACCCAGCTCCTCTGCAAGAACAACCAATGCTTTTAACAACTGAGCCATCTCTCTAGCACCCTGGTCCTTACATCTTATTGGAATATTTTTATAAGACACTGGAAATTGGAAGTTCAGATATCAGAGTGGCAAATACTTCCATTAGTCATTGTGGAGATTAATGTTAATAAACTCACAGATATTGCTAAGAATTTACAAAATACAAATCATTATTTCAGGGCCTGATGATTGATGAGTAAGTAAGATATTTTGAAGAATAGTAGGAGAAACAAATTTCAGTTAACAATGCCTTGTGTGTAGTAACCAATACAAGTAGACAGAAAAGCAGCTTGCTAGGGAGTCACCTAGCAAGTGATGCTAAGTGGTGCTAAGACAAAATAAGGTCAAGAGTTGGTTTCTACATGAAACACACTGATCTATGCAGAGAACCTAATTTCTTTCTTGTGGTTTCAGATGCCCTCACTGAAGGGAAACTCATGATGGAAATATCTTATTGAGGATTTCAAAGTTCTCTACTCTGTAAAGGTCAATTAAATGGAGTACAATCAAGGCACTGAACTCTCACTTTGCCAGTACCATTCTCGTACCATTTTTAAATTCAGCAGCAGATCTTCTTGATGCACCACGCATGCACACAGTGTATCAAACCCCTAGGAAACAGAATCAGCCAATGACAGAAACAAACTTTCTTCAAGAATACGTGGCTAGGATGTTTCAATGTACTTGGGGAAGCCTCCAAGTGTTGTCTGAGCTACTTTGGTTCTTGTATTATCTTCAGAGTTGGGCAAAATCACTGGTAGACTTGAGATACCCATGAAGATGAAAACCTGCTTTTCCATCCCTCAAGAAAGACCTTGTTCCTAGCTTTGAAAAGTAGCCTGATGTCTTCATGCCAATGGCTGTAGAACAGCTCTATCTACCTGACAGATATTGCTCATCTGCTGCACACAATTTATGAAATCTGTGGATGCCTTAAATACCCCACTGCTACCATGGCACTTCAAAACTGGCCTTACTTTCTTTGATTCAGTTTAAATGAAAAGTAGCAGAAATAAAGTTTACCAAATATTCATGATAAATAAAATAATAGGCTTTGGTCCCTCTACAGTGTAGCATATTGCCACCTGAAAAATTCAGCATGAAGCTCTTATGCTCATCCATCACATATCCATCTTGAAGTTCCTGATAATTTACTTATCATCAAATCTCAGTACTTAAATGTAGCTAATTCCCTAAGATGTAACATTAAATTCTTCATAATAGTTTTTTTTTTTCTCTTTTTAGAACAAATAACTGAGCACAATTATTTTCCAACATAGCAAATATGAGAGGAAATAAGGATGAGGGTCCCACTGAATTAAACAATTAGAAGGAAAATCATCTCTCAGTGTCTTTGGTCTATTTGTAGTCATATATTAGCTTGGGTACATTCAGATGATAGAAGCTACATGGTGATTTGAACAGAATTTGTTTCCAAAATCATTGTTTATTAATAGAGAAATAGACGCAAAGAAAGGCTGGAGATGCCTGCAAGGTGTGGCCTCAGGTTAAGGCAGTCACAAAAGGAGAAACTGGAAGGACTGGTCATCTCCAAGAGTGAGCTTCAGAGCATGATATAGACCAGAGGCTACTGGAGGGTTGAAAGGTTTCTTGGGTTATGCCAGATCAGAGCTGGTCCTCTGTTCCAAGTCATGGAGAGCAGACCTACCAAAGCTGGGGAAGACCTAACAGGGCATTCTTGGGATGTTTTTAAATAAAACAAGGCCTATAGTCACATTATTTCTAATAAGAAACAATGGGCAAGGGCCAGAGAAATGGCTCAGCAGTTAAGAATGCTTGCTGCTCTTGCAACCGACCTGGATTTTGTTCCCAGCACCCAAATGACAGTTTACAACTGTCTGTAGCTCCAGTTCCAGGGAATCTGATGCCCTCTTCTGGTCCCCATGGGCTCTTGCATGCATGTGGTGCACAAATTCTTGAAGGCACACACATACATATACAAATTAATATATCAATTTTTTTAAAAGATAGAAACAATATGCAGAAGGAAACTTTAAGTATTCCAGAAGAATTTATTATGAAGACTCTTCCACCCTTTCCATGCCATTCAGGCTTCTTCCCAAGAAACAAGTAACCAGCTTATCAAACTCTTGGGCAGAGTTAAGCTATGACAACATACGCACTGTTCTCTGCTTTTGCTTTATTTTACTTTTCATGTTATATTTTCACTGCAAACATGGGGACCTTTTCTCCGACTCTTATCAAACTTCTCTCTCTGACAGGCAAAAAACTAAATTCACTGCTTTGAGTTATCATTTAGTTTCATCAAAGTGAAATTTAGCATTTCACTTTGTTGAAAATCCATTTACTTTTGTTCATTGTGACCTGTGAATTTACATTATTTTGCATTTTGGTTATTACTTAATGTATGTATATGTTTTTTATTAATGTAAGTATTTTTTATTAGTGCAAATAATCTTTTTTATTAGTGTAAGTTACCATATCCTAGTTGAGGTAGGTCTTGTTTGGATGATTTTTTATGATAATATATTTAAATGCATCATATTATTAGCTTTCATCCATACTAAGGCCTTTGAAACTACAAGATTATAACATTTCCATGCTTCTGCTTCTATTTGAAAGCTGCTGCACAATTAGATGTTCAACATATTTATTTGGAAGTTAGGTGAAATTTGTGAATTAATCTTTCAATTTTATTATTTCACATAAATAACACTGGACTTTTAGCTGCTAGTATGAACAATTTCTCCCCTGTCAAGTTTAGTGAGATGTGTCAACGTTGACCTTCCTCTTTTTAAAAAAATGTCCTTTTAAAAGTTCCTCATGTCTCTAAAACTATCCTAGAATTCACCTTGTACTTCTTGAAGATTCTCAATTAGATATCTGTCGAATTTCATCTTCCTGTATTCTATAAATATTTTTACTCTCATTGATTTTAGCAATATATTGTATTCATTTCATAGATCTAGCATTCTGTCTTCTAGCCTTTTGGAAGTGCCATTTTTCCTTTCTTCAGACCAATTTATATGAAGTTTACATTTTTTTCAAGTGTTTTACTTTCTGATCTGAAATTTGCACATTTTATTTCTTTTTACTGTGATGCCCTCTGTTCCCTCAGCTCTTGTATGATTATTTTATTTTCTTATTTTATGGATGCACATCTATAATTTCAGTGTTTCTGTAACTCAAGGCAGTTGTTGAACTTAATTTTTAACATAATTTTCATATATGGTCTTCATATTTCTTTAACACTATATATTTGCCATATCCCAATATTTTCTTTGCTTTAATGTAGTTATTTAATAGTGATTTTACTGGTTTGTCTTTATTAGTTACCTCTAAATGAGATAATCTTTTGCAACATTGGCTATTTTCAGGAGGATTGTATAAGAGTGGTCCAGGACCATTTTCATCCAGCAAGTTTTTTCATGGCAGCAGCTGTTTATGAGCATAATAATCCTTTCTTACTTCTCCCCAGCCAATATGGATGTCCTGATTCAATTAGAAGTTTCTTAGTTCCCCTTGTCCCACAGATAATGCCAATTTCATCATTTGAAAGTAAAACCCCCCTATTAATTTTGTGAGGAATTGTTTAGAAGTAGATAAAATTAATATAGTTTTACTGCAGCCTACATGACAATATAATTTAGATCATAACCAATTTATACTTTTGAAACACACAATTTTCTATCACAAGAAGCCAGAATATTCACTGATAAGCAGAGTTACATCATCTCGACAGACTGAAAAAAGGAGATTTTTAGTAGAACATTTCTTCTTTTATAGCAGTCTAAATCTAGAGCATTCTAATTCTCTTTTATGGCAGAAATCACTAAGCCTCAGTCATCCAAGAAACCCTTTCAGAAAATAAGTACTCTCTTTGTCTCCATTCTTAGGAAATCCTCTTCCATTACCAGTCAGCGTGCCCAAAAAAGTGATAGAAACAAATCCATTGATTGGAGTTAACAGACTCTTCACCCATGGAAAGTCATTGGCACAAGTAATGAAAGGTAAGCTCTTTATGTGGTTCATTAACAAATATTTTCCATTTTAATTCAAGTCCTCATCAAGTAAACATTAATAGAACTATTTCTGGATGATGCTGAGTTAGAACATATCCACAGTCACTAGCGTCAGTTATTGATTCAAAGAATAGAAACTACAATACAAGTCATTCTTTATGTCCAAATTCATAATATGTTTACATATGTTATATATAACTAAATTGGCCTTTCATAGAGAGTTTTGGCATGTGCAGTAATGATCTATGCCAATACAGTTCTAGTAACTACATGAGCTAGTTTTTTCTGGAGTGGTGGACAGGCAAGAGGAAGAAAAGACCAGCTAGGCATGTGGATCCTGCAACAAAGCAAGAGAAACACATACAAGCAAAGGAAATCTTTACTCTCAGAATGAACACAAATTCTCAATGCCTCACTCGCACTTAATGGATAGGAGGATTGAAAGACAAGAAAACTCCATATAACTCATAAAAGGCAGCATACAAAGCCTCCAGAAAATACCTGTTCTCTTAAGGTGGAGATCCTTCAGGATAGGTGTTCCAGGATCACTTCATTTGTGAACTCAAGGGAAGAGGACGGCACGAAGGAGTTCCTTAGAGGTGAGTGTGGTACTGATCACATCCTCCCCAACACACACACACACACACACACACACACTCACACACTCACACGCACATGCACACACACATTGAAAGCTAGAATGTGCTGTCCAGTTAACAGCAATGTCCCAACATAAATTTTCTCATTTTGATATTGTGCCATGGTAACAAAATAACCAAACTCAGGAGAAGCTGTGTGAACGGCACTTGTCTATTAAGATTCTGAATCTATAATATCACAAAATAAAGCATATTAAACTAAAAAAATAACTTGTTCAGCATGGTTTCCTGGATGGAAGCACTGTGGGAGGAGCGGGTCTATAGAGGATTCTTGAGAGTATCTTCACAACCTGCCTAGTGAAAAGCAGACCTTGTAAACCCACCTTAAACAAATATACCAACTGACTAGTACTGTAATTGCTTTACAAGACCTTCTCCTGGCCATTGCCCCACCCTGGTTAAGACTGCTGCCTTAAACCCTCTGGGAACCATCAATAAATTGAAATCACATGAAGGAAATTTTAATTATCAAGTCAGTACTTCATACTGAGTCAAGGCCAAACAGATTTGTGGCATTTTCTTAAGTTCATCTCTGATTTTTCAAGAATGACAAATCTGATTGTGTGGGTGATTTTATGTATTTAACAATTTTTTTAGTAACTTCCTCGAGGTAGCTCTAAAATTTGACATGAAAATGGCTTCTGGTAGCACAAGGCCTAGAGGATAAACTCCAAATCCCTAGGCCTTTAACAAAAAGTCCTCCATAGTGTTTGCCCAAGTTGTCTTTGCAGATTCATCTATCACAGTCTGGTTATCCCAGCAGATATAGTGCATCACATAGTCACACACGAGCATTTTCACAGATAATGTGCCATTCCTTGAAAATGCCAAACAAGTTTGGAATTTCTGCTCTTCTTGGGATACCTTCCTCTACTTTCTGCTCTTCTTGGATACCTCATGCCTCTGCACACACACACACACACACACACACACACACACACAAACACATGCATGCACGCACACAAGCACAGGCACGCATATGTACAAGCACGTATGAATACATGCACACATGTGCTTCATGTGTATTGTGGTATACAAAACTCATACAAGTCTTTTATGACGTAGTTCAGAAGCACTTCTATTGACGCTTTTCCTGACTACCCACCCCTGTGATTCTTCAAAGTGGCCAAAGTTGTTTGGCTCCAACCATCAGGAAGTAAGGTTTGTTTCCCCCATCTTTATTATGGATTGGCCTAATTAATTGTTTTCACTAATATGATGCAACAAAGTAGTGTGTGACTGCCAAGCCTTGCCATTTTCATTCTCACTGTCTTTGAAGGTCATTGCCAACAATTAAATCTGGGCAGAGCTGCTGCTGAGGACACACAGAGGAAAGCCAAGATGCTCAGCTGAGAATTCCACCTAGCTGCCAGGCATACGAATAAGGTCTCTTGTACTATCTGGATGAACCATAAATTATCTAAATCAGTAGACACCAACCAAAGAAACATCTGGCTGCACCTAGACCCTGGGGCAAAGTAATGAGCCAACGATAACCTACTGTCCTAAGCCATTTCTGGAATGCTTTGTTATGCAGGAGTTGATACTCACCCCAACAACAGCCTCATTTAACTAGTTATTCTGAATTTGAAAGACCACAGCACTGTCAACCTCAACGTACTTCTACTGTAAGATTCATGTTTTATCACAGTCACTGGTTTGTACATTTCTTCCCACAACCAGGCTTTGAGTTCTCTGCAAACAGATGTGTCTCCAGAATCTCATATCAAGCCTTAATACAAGTAAGGCACTAAATAAGTAGATGCTAAATCAATAAAAAGCTGAAGACTGGGCTTCATCAGGTTGACGCTGAGTATGTTCATCAAATCATGGGCAGAGTTAACTTCACTCCCTATACCGAGAATGCCAAACTGCATAATCCAAGAGCATGGCTCACATGAGGCTAAATTTAGCAGTTGTAATAGATTGGATGTTTTCAGAGTCCTAAGATTAAATAGCCTCAGATGAGCAGTATTTCACTAGTTCTGCCAATCTAACAGCCTAGGGAACCATTTTACTTGGAAATAGCAGAATGTAATTCCAAGCAAAATCCTAAGACTTGGCTTGAAGTCAAAATGCATTATAAAAATACAAGTATTTGTTTTGTCCAATTCCTTTCTAGAGTTTCATGCAGCATTGTCCAGAGCAAGTCAAACTTTCTGTGGCCTGGAGTTATTGGTGAATTGGCTGTAAAAAGGCCAGATGAGGGGCTGGAGAGATGGCTCAGTCGTTAAGAGCATTGGCTGCTCTTGCAGAGGACCCAAGTTTGATTCCCAGCACCCACGTGGTGCCTAATAACCATCTGTAACTCTAGTTCCAGGGGATCCAATGCCCTTTACTGACCTCTGCTGCATTACCCAACATGGGGGCACATACATACATCCAGGCAATACATTTATACACATAAAATAAATTTCGAAAAGACCAGATGACCTTGTTCATCATCATTCACATCAAATTTTTTCCAATTATAAGTGAAAGGTTTGCCTATATTTTAGCTGGATGACTCCAACTGTTGAATGTTTAAATAATCCATTTCTGGGCATGTATGGAAAGTTCCTTTTCTAGATTTGGTGAAGGTTGCAAATGTTGGGTAACTACCTCAGTAGTCAGTACTATTTCATCATGTATCACAATGTCATAAATCATCTCTAAAATCATCTTTCGTAAAAACTGAAAGGGGAAATGGTTGATAATGCTCAGAAGGGATTGTCAATCCTTGTATTTTGTTGGTGATTTCTCTTTGTGTCTGTGCACAGAAAATAGTTAACTCTAGTTCCTTCATTGGAAATTCCTATTGTTTAGTCATAGATTTTGCAAAATTTTAAGAATGACAAAAATTAACAGCTGGTTGGACTTAAATACAAATTTCAAAACATCTCATTAAGATGCGGCATGATGCTTTGTCCTTATGATCTGTTTTCGTTCCGTTGCAGAAGAGCAGACCCACCTGGTTCTGGAAAGTTGCTGCACAGCCTTGCTATTCTGGAGTAGTTTTGGCAAAATACAAGTCCACCTCCTCATGAAAGAGTACATTCATTTGCAAGAAGATACATGTTATTTTGATTCATTGATAAAGTGATAAGAGCAAATAGTATTTCCTAAGCCTTGCTTGATTTCCAAGAAAACATTTTTGCTATCTTAAGGCAAAAAGTTTTATTTTTGATTGGTTGAAACAGAAAGAAGGGCTCAAGTGTGAGTGAAAATGTGGCAGCTCATCATGGCAAACAATGAAAAAGAGATTTCTTAGGAGCCAGTTACAGTGCAACTGCAGGGAGGGGTTTCAGACATAAGGGAGCCAGCACATGCTGATATTAGTAAATACGCTAACTTGCCTTTCCTATGTACCCTACAGAAATCCTGGAGAATAACCAGTGACTAAACTGGAGACATAAATTAAGCTTTTATAAATTGAGAGTTTATTGGTTTTGTAATTCATGTAGGTGGGTGAGCAAGGAAATGAATCAGCCTTGTGTTTGCTGTTGAAATGGGTGCCAGATAAGTTCCACCTGAACTGGCTGGTCCTCAAGCTTCATACCAGAACAATGAATCATCCTCAGTGACAACTCAGGAAGCTTATTGGTTCTAAAGCTCCCTAACCAAGAAGCTCCTCAGCCAAGAGGTGGGACAGATACAATTTATAATTGCAATTTAAATATAAGCAGTTAGTCACAGCTGAGTGCCAGGGAACTGCCGTAAATCACATGAACATTTGAACTTTGTATTCATCATTTATAGTTTTGAGGCAGTTACCCAATTTTTATAACAGATGTTTATTCTACAAATATGAAAATGAAGTTTCATTAGAGGCTGAGAAGATAGCTCGGTTGGTAAAGTGCCTGTTGTGCAAATATGAGGACCTGAGTTTGAATCCCCATCACCTATGTCAAAACACAGACATGGAAGCAGTGCCTGTAACCCCAGCACTGGGGAGGTGGAGACAGGTCAATCCCAGAAGCTCACTGGCTACCCAGACTTGTCAAATTGATGAACTCTTGGTTCAGTGAGAAACTTCTGCTCAAAACTAAGGTAGCAAGGGACTAAGGGAGACACCAGACTTCAACTTCTGTCCTCTACTGACACTCACATGCACACATGCACATACTACCAGGATCATGTACATACAACACACACACACACACACACACACACACACACACACACACAAACACACACACACACAATAAAGCTTTATTGGACATTTAAAAAATATTTTATTTATTATTTTTATTTTATGTGTATGAGTGTATTGCCTGCATGTATGTGAGTGCACCTGTGTCGTGCAATAGAAGAAGGCATTGGATTCCCTGGAACTGGAGTTCCAGATGATTGTTAGCCACCATGTGGGTGCTGGGAATCGAACCTGGGTCCTCTGCAAGAGCAGTCAGTACTCTTAACTGCTGAGCCATCTCTCCAGCCCCTATTGGATATTTTAATTTAATTTAGATAACCAGAATTAAAATGCAAGTATGCTGATTTTTCCTGAACCATGAGTCAAATCTGTAGTGGAATGACTTGAAATTTAGAATTAGTAATTCTATTGATGACAAATTATTTGAAGGTTGAAAAAAAAAACTCTCAAAAAATTCTGGTCCAATTTTCTCAATTGCTGGCCTAAATGCTTCATAGTGTTAATATCAATATCCAATGAAGAATCCAGAAAGCTTTTAGAGTCATTAAACACTTTACCCATTAATTCTCAGAATTGAACAAACAAAATTGAAATACCTGAGCACAAAACTTGATTTTAGGGTTACCTCTTCAGAGGGGGGAATGTTAGAGAGGCCAAAAGCCCAATAAAAATAAATAAATGAAAGAAGAAAAAAAAGAAAGGAAAAAGAAAAAATGATAGGGAGATATGGGAGGTGTTGCAGGGGAGACAGCAGGCACGGATTTGACCAAAACACCTTATATGCATGTATGAAATTCTCAATAAGGTTTTTGTAAAAGTTAAAAAAGTCAAGAATTTCCAAGTGTTTTCCCTCTTTTGAAAAAAATTTTTAAGAGCTACAGCACTATATTTTAACCCATTTTTACACATTAAAAGAAAGCATTTATTTTCCCCGTGGCCCATATTCAATCTCTTCAATATTATATTGATAAAATGCCCTCCAATATAAAGGTTAGCTGAAAGAATATGCACTATGACCATAAAGAATCTCATCTCCCAGGAGAAATCCAGAGTCTCAGTTCCACATCCAATCTGAGACACAAACTTTCATTGCATTCCTCATAAACAAAAACTTTCTCTGTAGGTCTCATAATCTGTCCTCTCATCTCTGAGGTTTTGATTTTTTTAAAACAAAGTTACATTGTAAGGGGAACAAATTCTACCATGCTTTAGGAAATAAAGATTTTTCTCTTTCTTGAATACTTAGAGTTTTTTTTTATTTTTTTCAAAGTTATATATTTGAACCATATGTGAATGTAAGTGGAACGTGTTAGTTTTGATTGTGCCAGAGTTCCTAAGGGGCTCCCAAAATCAGAGGATGTGGCAGGTCACCCTAATTTTTGAAACCTGAATGCTTTTGTTCATGGCAAGGATCCAGAACAGAATGTACCAGCTTCTTTTCCCCATGATTTCTTCCATTCCATCTGTAATCATCTTTCCTCATCCTAAAAGCTGCTTTGGCTCACCCTATGGTGGCTCAATCATTCAATTTTACAGAGCAGAAGGAAGGCAACGTTCGGCATGGGAAACAGTGGAAAGATAGAATTGTGAGTGAGAAAACACTGCCACTAGGCCCAGTTCCAACATTAGCAATCATTCTTGTCTATTAAGTGGGAATTTAGACTAAAGTTAGTCTAAATGATTTCTAAGATATTTATAACTGACATTCAATGATTTTATGGAATTCTTGAATTTGGTCACCATGAGAAACTATAATCATCTATAGTATAATTACTTATAATAAATAATTATATAATCATCTATATATAATTACCTACAGTAAGACAAGTGAATGCAAAATGTTTACATATATGAAGGTGGGTACAAAGAAATATATATGAAAAAAGTTATACAACTTTAATATCATAATAAATTTGACCAAACCTGGTTTCTGAAATCTGTCAATCAAATTAGCAACATCTTGTCCTTAAGGCAGGCATTTCTGCAAACGAATGCAACAGAACTTGTGTATTCATCAGGGTACTGCAGAGCAACAAAGCCAATGGGATGGGTATATACTCATCCACTCACTCACTTGGCTCCTCTCACAGTTATGGAGCTGCAAGGATCATAAGGAAAGACCAGAAACCCAGATAGGACTTGAAGTTATTACCTAGAAACAGACTCCCATTTACTCCAAGAATCCTGTTTC